GCTTGGATCCTCTGGGAGATTTCCCCAAACAGAAGACATTTTTGTGCCAGCAGGACTTCCCCTCCAGCACTGCTACAGCCCAACACGATCCCTAAAATGCTGCTCCTGAAGGGGCCAATGGGCCGACACCCCCCCAACCCCCCCTCTCCAACAGCATGGGAGGAGAAGTTGAAAGTCTGAAGCAGGAGAGGGTAACAGGTGAAAATTCTGTGCCGTTTCCATTAGTGGAAATTTACTGCAGGATCCATGTGTGAACTACTCAACCAAATGAACCGTTTGGTTTTCTTTTTTTCACACCCATATACTCAACAGAACAATTTTAAAATTGCCTGCTAACAGTTATATAATTTCCATGTTCCCATTGCTTCACAGTGAATTTCAGCAAAGGTTCTGTTTTTTGTAAATATGCAGCTGCCTCCCGCATACCTAGGCGGTGTCATCTGCCATTGCATCAGCATGTAAAACCTGACTTATTAAAATAACACCCGCCAGCTAGAAATCCATCTACCGTCATTGTTTATAAATATATCTATCTGGCTTTTCCTAGGTGGCCATACTAAGGGATTTTTCTCTTCTGCAATTAGTTCCCCCGTTTGGGCAAATCAAGTTTGCCTTGTTTTTTGCTTAAGGGACAGAGAATCAGCTCCGCCTGGGACCCTGCCCTGGTAGACAAGAGCTTTCACAGACAACTTCGCTTTTGCCTCCATTTGCTTTTCTGGAGAAACCATCCTTCCCCTCTCACTCTCCCCGCACGGGACGTATAACCCCCATGTTCTAGCTGCATGCAACCAAAACAATCAATGGCACCAAACTTCACTTTGGTCCTGTTTTGCTGAAGCAAGTGCAGCTGTGTGGCTTTTGTTTTTAAAACACCAAACACGTTTGAAACGCTGACAGCGTGAGAACTCCCACGGCTGTACTTGGTCCCTGCTGAGCCAGCTGTCAAGCCTTGGCCGCCATCCCTTTCGTGTGAGCTTCGCTCTCCAGGTGTACAGGGAAGGCATCTGCTCCTCTGCACTCGCCCTCTGTCCCTTCACCCTCTGCTCAGCACAGCCCCTGCTCCGCCTGAGCACACACCTGCCACCGCTGTCTTTCCAGCCCTCAGCCTCAAGGCATTTGCATTTCGGACAGGTCCTGCAAGCCACAAGGCTGGCCCTGCAGGTGGTGGTTCTGTGGCTGCGGGTGGTGGAAATAGCCCATAGTGGCATTCTGCTGTGGCAGATGAGAGGGCTGGAATATGTGCTGGTTTTGGCCTGCCTGGACTGGCTCAGTAGCACCTTGCATCTGCAGAAGAACAGAGAGGTCAGTTTCAGAGGTGGACATAAGCAGCCCTCCCACATATCTGCACCATTCCTGACCCCCCCCCTCCCTGTGTTGACTCCTAGAATAGAAGACAGTCTCGAAGAATGAAAGAACCACCTTGCTGGCTCAGACCATGGGTCCATCTAGTTCTGCAAACACTGGTGGCCACATCTTCTGAGAAGCTCATAAGCAGACCACAACCCTTTCCCCCCTCTTCCAGCATCTGGCCTTCAGAGGCATACTGCCTCACATCTGGGTGCCCTGCTTAATAGCCATTTACAGACCTCACCCTCACGAGTGCATGCCATCCTTCATACCCGAATTAGCTGATTTCACATCTTCCCAACCTGTATTACAAACTGCATTACCTGAAGATAGAGGTGATGTTGTTGAACTTGCTGTGGCTGCCACTGGTGGAGGGTGCCAGGGGGATGGCTCTGCTGTGCAGTGATGTTGGTGTGTGGAATCATCACTGAGGGGGTAAACACGGGGGTGGGGGCAGAGGCGCGAACGGCAGTGCAGGTGATTGGCTGCATCTGGATGGCAGGAGGCAGGCCCTGCTGCTCTTGAGGAAACCTGCAAGGCAGGAAAGGAATAATCATGTCAAGGTTTTAAAACCTTACAAGAAACACTTCATTAGTGAGTGACTACAACATACCGGCATGGGCTACACACACACACACACAGCAGCTTGGAACGAGGAAGCAAAGTATCACGTCCTAAGGCCAAAGCTAGCAAGGAGGTCTGACAAGCTGGAGTCACGTGACAAAGAGCAGCACCTTACAGCTGAGAGCTTTGCCCTGACTGGTCACGACTTCCATGTGTGAATGAACCATCACAGAATACTGGTGAAACTTTCACAAGCCCTTGGAACCACCCTTTCCACACTGAAGTTCCAGTTTCTGTTGAAAGTGAACTTTAAAAAACAACAACCAGATTTCTAGTCCAAGTTTTTCTGAAGATATGCTGAAAGTGGGAAATCTCAGAAGCCAGAAGGATACCGTAATGAAATGTTCAGCCACTCGGAGACATAAATTCAGTGCCTTGACCCAACCACAACTACCAAAACTAGAATATAGCAAAAACAAAAACAAAAAAACAACAGCATACTCTACGCAAAATAGGGGGGAAATATACAAATTTGGTGATTTACATGATCTCGAAATTGCAGAATTTGGATCAGCTGGTTGCAGAATTTTTTTTTTAATGGAATGCACAAGGCCCAGGCTATGTTTATATCACAAGCATGACAGGCAAAGCAACATGTTGTCTACTGGTGGGCAACTGAGCCGTTTGAAGTTTCTGGGTGATTATAGTAGACCAATCTGGAAGTCACCAGCGCATGAACAATGGCAGCTGGGTCTCTGCCTTCCAGCTGTGCAGCACAGCTGGTGAACTAGCTGAAGCACAGATAAAATAAGACATTCTGGGCTACAGCTGCCACCTGAGTATACTGGCAATGGTGGGTCCATGTGTGCCCCCAAACAATGAGGTAAATAAAAGGGAGCACAGGCGCTGGCAAATAAAATGCAAGTCAGTGATCAGACAGGCAAAGAGGGACTATGAGGACCAGATAGCAAAAAACATAAAGACCAACAATAATAATTTCTTCAGATATGTTAGTAGCAGAAAACCAGCCAGGAAGGCAGTGGGGCCCTTGGATGTCCAAGGGGTAAAAGGATTACTAAAGGATGATGGTGAAATGGCACAGAAGCTGGATGCATTTTTTGCCTCTGTCTCCACTGCAGAAGATGGGAAGTGCTTCCCCACTCCAGAACCGCTGATTTCGGGAGGGGTGTTGAAAGACCTGAGTCAGATTGAGGTGATGAGACAGGAGGTCCTATGACTGATGGACGAATTAAAACCTGTTAAATCACCAGGCATACAGATGGCATACATCAAAAAATTCTGAAAGAACTCAAATGTGAACTTGTGGACCTCCTGACAAAAATATACAATCTATCACTATAATCTGCCTCCATTCACAGGGACTGGAAGGTACCTCATGTAACCCCCATCTTTTAAAAAGGTTCCAGAGGAGCACTGGGAAATTACAGGTTCAATGTCAATACCAGGTAAGATGTTGGAATCCATTATTAAAGATGGAATTAGTAGGCACATTGATGAACAAAAGCTATTGAGGAAAAATCAGCATGGATTCTGCAAGGGAAGATCATGAATCACTAACTTTTTAGAGTTCTTTGAAGAGGGGAACAAACCTGTGTACAAGGGTGACTCAGTAGATGTTGTTTACCTAGACTTTCAAAAAGCTTTTAATAAACGCTCCCAAGTAAATTCAGCAGTCACAGGATAAGAGGACAAGTCCTCTTGTGGATTAAAAACGGGTTAATTAACAGGAAACAGAGTGAGTATAAATGGGCAGTTTTTACAGTGGAAGGCGGTAAGCAATAGGATACCACAGGACTCAGTCCTTGGTCCATTAATTATTTGGAGGTGGGAGTAAGCAGTGAAATGGCCAGATTTGCAGATGACACTGAGTTGTTCAGGGTGTAGAGAACCAGGGAGGACTGTGAGGCGCTCCAGAGAGATCTGCGGACGCTGGGCGAGTGGACATCAATGTGGTAAATGAGGTTCAACATGGGCAAGTGCAAAATAATCCACATTGGAGCCAAAACTCCTAACTATAAATATATGTTGATGGGGTCTGAACTGGCAGTAACTGACCAGGAGAGAACTCACTGAAGATGTCAACTCAGTGTGCAAGTGCAATAAAAAAAGGCAAATGCTATGCTGGAGATTATTAGGAAGGGGACTGAAAACAAATCAGCCAGTATCCTAATGCCCCTGTATGAATCTATGGTGCAGCCTCATTTGGAATACTGTGTACAGTTCTGGGAGCCATACCTCAAAAAAAATATTATAGCATTGGAAAAGGTGCAGAAAAGGGCAACTAAAATGATTAAGGGGATGGAACACCTTCCCTATGAAGAAAAGTTAAAGAGGTTAGGGCTCTTTAGCTTGGAAAAACGATGATTGAGGGCTAATATGATATTTACAAAATTATGCATGGGATAGAGAAGGGGGGGTACTTTTCTCTCTCACAATACAAGAACTCGTGGGCACTCAGTGAAATTAATGAGCAGTAGGCTTAGAACAGTGGGAGGGCGTCTGGAGTTCTGGCCCTGATGGTGGTCCTCCTGATGGCACCTGGGTTTTGGCCAATGTGTGACACAGAGTGTTGGACTGGATGGGCCATTGGCCTGATCCAACATGGCTTTTCTTATGTTCTTAACCTGCTCCACACCTAGTAGGATGCATTTGGTTTCGCAGGTCCCAAGCAATGTAACAGGCTTGTCCTAAGAAGAACACAGTTTTGTCTTCTGTGTGGAGATTGACCCAAATTAAGCTCCTGCAGGAAACCCCAAGGAACACAGTTTAAATAACTGCAGAGGCTTACTTGGCTTGTTGTCTGCCAGCAGTGCCTTGTGAAGACTGGCTGTTCCCACTAGTGCTGGACATCAAGGGCTGCACAGGCTGATCTAGCAACATCCTGTTGGAAAAGTGACAAGCCACCACAATGCAGTGAGAACCAGGGAACTCAAAGAGCCAGCACAATGCTTGCTCCTCCATGTGAATGTGTTCAAAAAAATCTTAGCAGGGGAAGTCAATGTTAGGTCAATGTAGGCAGGCTAACAAAGGGGTGTGAAGGAAGCAATGCATTTCTCCCTGCGTTGGTTTTGGCTTCTTTAGTCCAGTATCCCTTTGGGGCAACTAGAAACCTGGTTTGCACCCAGTGTTACCTAATCCAATTAAGTCTGCAACATCACCAAGTGTTCCAATTTAAGATTCCACAAGCTGCAGGCTTGAGACCTCTCCATCATGTCAGGAAACAATCCCCTGCTCCCCTTTTCCATGTTTGAATATACAATCCAATTAAGATTTCTCTGGAGAACTCAAAAACTTTCTGACCGGTTTGGTGCTGTTTTGCTGGGTCCTAATAACAGGAACCACTCAACTATCACTTGGGGGAATTCTTCTATGGACTCACAGAGCAACAGTCTCGGTCCCTAAAGCAAAAACGGGAGTGGCCTCCCACATTTTGCAGAACTGCTATGGTGCAAGGTAACTGAAGGAGGATAACATTCCTAACATTCCTCCTTGTACCTGCCATATTTCCATTTCTCCATTCCTCCAGGTAGAGTGGGTGGCTCTCTTCTCCTGTGCATTCTCACAAACTCTTGAGGCCAAAAGTAACTGGCCTCTTCCCCATGGCTAAGTGCAGATTTATGTCTTAAACTACGGTCCTCGGCTTGCCTCCTACTAGCTATTTCCTCACTTCAGTTAGTCCACCAGAGCAGAGCTACGTGCTTTCTCTGTAGTAGCTCCTACTCTACAGAACGGTGAGCAGGTGAAGCTGTTGTTCTCTAGAAGTTTTTAGGAGGCATTGCAAAGTCACTTTATTCACTAGTGCCTGGCTACAGACATGGTAGTGGTGGTGGAAGAGAGATGTTAACTGGGATTAGTTCTACTTTTTGTTTGTTTAAAATTTGGATTTGTAAACTGCCTTGAGCAATGAAGGAAAAGCGGGGTATAAGTACTTTAATTTAGAAACAGATAAGTAGTCTGTACCGTAGACTCCGATCTTGGCTGTAGTCAGGCTGCTGCTGCCTCTCAGTCATTTCGGCTGGCATCGGAGCAGACACAGTGATAGGGTGCGTCTGGGAGAACACCATGGGATTATTGTAGAGGGGCATTGAAATGCTCATCTGCATTGGCAAGCATGCCTGCTGGATCTGGTTTCCTCTCAGAACACGCTTTTGCTGCTGCTGCTGCGACTGTACCTGATACATAAACGCAAAAGCCTTCATTAGAACGGAGCTATATAGATTTTTTTTTAAAGCATCAATTCATCTGGTACCATGTTTAAAAAAAAACCCCAAACCTGGGATGACGTGACACAAGGTTCCCTGAGGAATTGCCGTGGCGAGGGCAAGGGCGTGCCACAGTACTGCTTGGTTCCCGTAAGGCCTTGCTGCTGAGACTTCTTGGAGGTCGTCCCATGCCTGCCCCCTGTTGCTGCTGCTTGTTGCTGAGAAGGCCTCCGTGGGTTCTGGGGTTGCTGCACATTGTTGAAGACCACTGGCATCGGCTGTTGCATCAGCATCTGTCCAAACAGTAGGGGGAAAGGGTGGAGAAGTAAAAGACAGCAGTGAGCATGTGGACTTTGGGGACATCCCCAAATGCCTGATATTAAGCAGGAGAGAAAGAGATCTCTTTGAAAATGGACATGTACCAAAAGCATGGCAGCAAAAGTCCATAATAAAACATCTCTTACCACAGCAGGAAGGGGTGCTGTAAACATGGGGTTTCTGCATGTTATTCTAGTAACTTGCTGGATCAGTACTCAACATGACCACTAGATGGCACCCACCCTTTGGATATATTACCATCCACGCTTCCCCCTTTGCGAAGGGTGAACATTTCACAAGAGAAGTCCTACTTTAGAATAACAGTTGTGCATTTTTTAAGTTTCAAAACTGTCCAGAAACAAAGCATAAAATAGCTTTGTTAGTATGAAAGATTTCTGTCTCTCTGCTAGCCAAGAAATAAATAGCCAGAAAAGAACCTCTGTGCTCTCTAAAATTTAATCCAAGTTCAGCGGACAGCCATCTAGCGGAGCAGGGGGGGTCCTACTTCAGTCAGCTGCAGGGCCCTGTTCCCCCTGAACAGGGATCAAGTAACATAAGGGCACTGAATGAATAGGCTTAGGTATACCCCACTGGATAGGATCATTTGCAAACAGCTGCATCATGTTGAATACTGATTTCAGAAAACTCACACAATCCTAGCAGCCTGCACCTGTACCTTCCACACAATGAAATGTCACTATACACAAGTTCACCTAACTACTAGCAGGACACGGCACCATCTTTCTGTAGTTCAGTACATTTTGCATGGCACACACAAGTTTGGAAACAGGCACCCACCTCTTTGCCTATAGGGAGTACAAATCATGTCCAAGTATACAGGTAAAGAAGCTTTTATAAAAAGCTGGGTCCCTGTCCCTTTTAGGTTACTACTGGCTGATGTGGAGATGTGCAGGCAGACTGACTTGGAAAAAACTGGCCGGCTTGTAACTGTTTATCTGCAAGGCTGAAAATAAGGGCTGGCCAAACAATATCTCATGTATGGAATTCCAGATGTTTCATAGCAACCACGGGGAGGGTGGGTTGAAGGGGGGCAATCTGGATTGGGGCTGCAGCATTAGGGAATGTTATGGCTGAACATTTTCTTCCCCACCTCCCAGCCATTTGTTGCAGTCAAAAACAGTCACCACGAGTTGCTTTTAGCCTCAGTAGGGACAAAAAACAAACAATATGGGTATATGTTCTTTTCCAGGGTTTATAGCAGTCCTGGGGCAGGGATTTTCAATCAGGTAAGTAACACGGGGAGGAGACTTAATCCCTTCCTTTCCCAGTGCCACACCCTTGATTCAGAGAATGTCCTGTCGAGATGTCTGCAGCCCCAGTTAGCTGACACAGTGAGTTTGGGCTCACAAACGCTTATATACAGCAAAATTTTGTTGGTCTTTAAGGTTTCTGAACTCTGATTTTGTTCAGCCCCGACTCCGAACATCTGCCCCCATGGCTGCTTTCGCGGGGGGGCCGGACTGAACATCTGGAGATCAAATCCAAGCACTCTGGTATGTTCCTAAATGCAATGGGAAGTATTTTGATTTAAAGACGGCAGTTTAGGGGAAGTCCTGTCAAAATACCTGCAGGTTGGAGTCTTGCACCAGCAGAAGCTGTTCTTTGATGACATGCAGCTCCTCTTGCTGCGTCTTGATGTCAGCTTGCAGGATGCGGGTCCTCTCTTCCAGCTGCTCTTTCAGCTGATGCATCATCCCAATCTGGGCTGGGAAGTGATACACGGGCTACGGATACAGAATGGAAGGAAGGGGTCACCCAACGGTACCTTTTGCAAACAGTGATTACTAAAAGCTACATGTCTGAAAGAAAACTTTTCCCCCTTTTATTTTATTTACTTTCTTTTTTACTGTCTTTCTTGCTGACACTTAGAGATTACAAAATTTTTTAAAAACCAAAATTAATGCGACAATGCAGTAAATCTAGATTACAAAGATACAACAAAAACAGGATAAATCTGGCACTAGATGGCACATGGTGGATTCATGTACAAAGACTAACTGGGGTGGTGAAAGTGCGGGCTAACGGCTGCTTCATGTATTGTATCTAATAAAAGGTTCCTTATTGCCCAGGATTTTAACTGAGAGTTTTGACCGATGAGATTACATATATTAAACATAATTCATAAAACATAAAAATGTGTGTACATATACATATAAAACAATACAAACACAAAAAGAACCCCAATAGTTTTAAACAGTTCTCTCCAATTCTCTCAACCCTTACAGATTCATGAAGTTAGCTCACTGTATTTTAATACTTTATCATCATTAGCTGTCTCGTTGAAGCAGTAAGGATCAACATAGCTGGTTGTAAGTTCAGAAATAAAGAACTTGACTTGAAGAGCCTCCCGCTAATTAAAGAAGTTATAAACGCATCTAGTGCAAGACATCCAAGTTTCTCTCATAATTACATGAGGCCTCAGGACTTCAGTGGGTATTTGTCTCAAGAGACATTCAGCTGTCATTACATTTTCCCCCTCTCCCTTCAGAACAGTGATTACTTCTAAGCTGTACACTTCACATCTGTTGTGCTGGGCGCTTCCCGGCCCCTGCCTCAGATCACTGACTGCCAGCCGAGGAGGTGGGGAAACGCCCACGGGTATCACCTATGGCCGTCTCTCCCTCTCTCTGCTTGCCACACAGGCACGTGTAGAGCTGACTGTGTACCACGGGGGGACTTACCATAACCGCTTGCTGCGAGGGAACCGTGGGCTGCGCCATGTGACGCTGCGTGAGATGCTCAGCGGGCGTTTGAGGGGTTATTATACCCTGTGAAAGAAAAACAGTGGGGTCATAATGCATTCAGCACAAGCATGAATATCTCTTTGTAATAACGTTCCCAGAAGACTGTGCCTCCACGACCTAGTTTACACAGTACCTGTGTTTGAGACGTATCAGATGGTGGTTTCAAATGACTCCGTGCTCCTCATACAGAAATATACATCTCTTCATATAGAACACTAGCAAGTCAGGGAAAACAGCTGAAACCAGGGCAATATTTTCACAGGCATCTGCCCTTTTAAAGATACTTTATTTAGCTCTGAAAACTCCCCAAGCCTACCAGCACTTCAAGACCATCTAGCTTCATGCGTCCTGTTTTATAAATAGTCCTGCCGACAGCTTTACCAGCCTCTGCTCCTGTGCAGTTTGATTTGCAGGTAACAGGCGGCAGATAAATGCTCTGTTCCTCACTATGAAACGCTTCACGTGCCAATTTCAGCAGATCAAACTACTTGCTAAAGGCACAGAAGCAGCGCTGGCCATCCCATGTCTCTCCTATCAGCTGACAACCCAATTTACGTGTATTTATTCCTTTTAAGCATGCATCAACTGCCTGTCTACCCAGCAAAGCACTAAAGGCAGCTGACTATCAGGCTGAGGTCACAGGATTCTCCTCCAGTTCGCTGTTCAACTGACCACCAGACTGCATCAAATTTTAAGACAATGCAGCAGTTTTCAGCAGTCCTGACGCCGTTACGCAGAAGGAGAAAGAACAAGGCTCAAACTATGCAGGTGGAGAGCTAGTCCACTGGAGAGGGAAGGCCTGCTCTTGGTATTGTAGTTGTTATTCATCTTTATATCATTGTATCACCTGGATATAAACACCATGACAGAGACAGACAGCATTTGTTCTTATTCACGGAATTCGGGGTGTAACCTGAGACCAAAGGCAACATTAAGCACAGGGATGCTGCCAAGAAAAGGCCTTAAAATCATGGCCTGAAACAGCTCTTTTTCTCCATCCACCTCTTCTTTATTTTGTAACATCCACCCTGATGAAGAGTTCTGGAGAACTTGAAAACTTGCACACTGTTTTGTGTCATTTTGGTTGGTCCTAATGGATTGTGGTTTACTTTTTGGATCTGGATATAAACAACACCTCCCTCTGCTTCAATTCCAGAGGGATTCCCCCTCTTTGAGTCAGACTCCTTCTCTCCGAGATACACCCTGGGGAAGACGTGGCAGCCACTGACCTGTGTGCTGCTGCTTGAGGCCAGCCTGAGAGGTGCCTTGTCCGACATGGGCAGTGACTGCCTGGTAGGGGTGCTGGCATCGGTATGCCGTATGGATGACGTGGCTGCAAAAGAGAAGTGTCCTTTAAGGCGGTGCTCACATTATCACAAAAATACTTTCCCATTTCATACCCAATCCTGAGCTGGAGGAGATCACAGCCAGATTCAAGCCCAGCAGCACCTTAAAAGGCCATTCAGATTTCCAGGGCATAAGCTTTCGAGAGTCAAAGCCCCCTTCTTTACCAGACACCTGACCAAGGGAGCCCTGACTCTCAAAAGCTCATGCCCTGGAAATCTTGCTGGTCTCTCAGGTGCTGCTGGGCTTGAATCTGGCTGTTCTTCTGCAGACCAACATCGCTGCCTGAAACCATCTTCTTGAGATACAGCAGTTCCTTCCAGACCACATGAAACCATATCTGGTGAGACTATTCCTTAATCATAGTTCACAGCACCAGGCTGTTGGGTGACTTAATATGCTTGGTGCCGTGCTTAGGAACGCGGACTCTAAGCTGGGAGAACCAGGTTTCATTCCCCACTCCTCCACATGCAGCTGTTACTGTGACCTTGGGTCAGTCATCAGTTCTTTCAGAGCTGTTCCCTCAAGGGCAGTTCTCGGGAGAGCTCTCTCAGCCCCACCTACCTCACAGGGACAGGGGAAGGGAAAGGAGATTGTAAGCCACTCTGAGACTCCTTCAGATAGTGAAGGGCGGGATATAAATCCAACCTCTTCTTCTTCTCTTCATAGCCACCAAGAGCCTTTCCAGCACAAGCTGCCCTTCCACCCACAGGAACTTTTTAGGAAGTTAATTTAAAGGTGTGTGTGGGGGGGATTGAACATAAGTAGTGCAAGGCTCCTCACACTCCTAAGTGGTGCTGAATCAAAGCTAGCGTCTGTTAAGCTAAGAACTGCCTCAGTCAGGAATCCTCATTAAAGTGCAACACTGACACAAAGTGTGCAGAAGAGGCTTTTAGGAGTGCAGCATGAGAACAGCACCTTACCCAGATGAGACCGATGGTCCATTTAGCCCAGCACCCAGTTTCTAACAGTGGTCAGCAATGTGACTGAGAAAAATTCATCTCCTGAGACCTGGTATTCAGAGAGATAATGCCTCAGGAGACAGACACTCTATTTAGCTGATAGCTGTTTATAGTCCCCCTTTTTAAAATCCAGGTAGGCAGTACACAGCAAAAGAATCAATCATGGCAGCTAAAAGCCACCAGCAGTAGCATAGAGCATCCAGTGACTACATGAAGCTGCCTTATTCCAATCAGATCACTTTTACTGGCAACATCGACTCTCACTGGCAGCAGCTCTCCTGAGCCTCAGGCCAAGAAATGTCTTTCCCATCACCTGTTATCCAAGATCCTTTAAATAAAAGATGCCAGAGGCTGAACCTTGGACCACCCGCATGTAAAGCAGATGCTCAACCTTGAGCCACAGCCCCTCCTCCTATGGGCAATAAATCTTGCACGGAAGACAGGTAAAATGAGGCTCTTGGGTTCACACCGATGTGATCCATCAACTGGCTTAGAATTGCCCCCCCTTGGTGCTATACAGTGGCCAACAGTTCAAAGTGACACCCACATGCAGAATCAGAGAGTGCTGTGTGCGAGGATCGGCGGGAACTATGAGATGACACGGACACCCTCTCCCGACTGGGTTCTTGGCTGGTTACACATGGCCGGATATCGATGAAACTTTCTTGACTCTGAAAAAGAGGTAAAGCCAGGAATGAATGTTAGCAGCAGAAGCAAAAGTATCTGGATTCTTCAGATCCAGAAGGCAGGTGACATTATAGGATCAGGATACAAGACTCATTAATTCCTTCCAGAGGGGTTGCTGTGAGAATAAAACAAAACCAAGAAGTGTTGCACCTTAAAGGCGAACCATAAATCTGTTCAGATGCTGCAAGACTTGTTTTGACTTCTATGTGTTTAAAATGTGACTACTTCAAATTAAGTTTATAGAAGTTTCTCCTGTCAACTCCCATAAAGGGAATGATGAAAGCTGTTTTTCCTTTGCAGGTACAGTTCCATCATTTGTGTATCATCAGAACAAGTACAGTGGACACAATCCAGAAAATGGTTGCCTTTTAAATTCAAGTGTTTGACAGAATTTAACCAAGCTTGCCCTTTCCCTTATTGCACCCATTTACACTTTTGTTTTATTAAGTTAATACATTGCCATGTAATAAAGTTTCCAAGGCTGCTCATAACCCAAATACAAATAATCCAAAAACATAATCCACATAATCCAACAATAACAGCATACACAGTAGGAGTAAACTATTTGATCAATTACAAATAATTCAGCCAAACATCTGATGGAAAAGAACAGCCTTCACGCACTACCAAAATGCTATCAGTGAAGGGGCTGGCTCAATATCATAAGTTGTGGAAGGAGGGGCGTACCTCATAAGGTTGGTACAACCACTAAAAAGATACCCTACTTATGGACAAGTTAATGTCATTATCTACATGAGGTGGTATCCTGAACAGGAACTCATCTACTAGTCAGTGGTGTAACCCATCCAGTATCCTGGTGTCTGTGCAGAGAATGAGAACTCCAGCACCAGAAGTTCTAGTTTCTACCGTGTAATTACAGCAGCTGCCAAAAAGCAGAGGGTGAGGATATAGCCAAGCTGTGACCTAGTTGAGCCATGAACTTGGGACTTCCCTCTGAGAGCCAGTTTGGTACAGTGGTTACGCGTGCGGACTGTGATCTGGGAGAACCGGGTTTGATTCCCTACTCCTCCACTTGCACCTGCTGATGTGACCTTGGGTCTGTCACAAGCTCTGGCACAGCTGTTCCTGAAAGAGCAGTTTGTGTCAGAGTTCTCTCAGCCCCACCCACCTCACAGGGAGTCTGTTGTGGGGAGGGGAAGGGAAAGGAGTTTGTAAGCTGCTCTGAGACTCCAAGTGAAGGGCGGGGTATAAATCCAATCTCTTCTTCTTCTTCTACATCTCCATTTGTTGCTAAATACATGATCTATACCAACCAATCCAACCCCATTAGGTTTTATGCATTGGAGTTTTAATGTCACAAAGTTGGTGGGAAGGAATATGATCACACTGGTAAAGAACACCTAAGCTAGCTCTCGTCTCAATCCATGGTTTTGCGATAGTATAGGAAGAGCAGACCTCAAGTGGCATGATGAGAACCAGAGACAAATGCATTAAGTAGAAGCAGTCGGTTGGACCTGCCCCATTGTTACTAAGGTTCAATGGAAAGCCCATCACCAATCACCATCAAGGGCATTTGACAAGACACAACATTGTTGCCTGTGTGACCTTTTGCTCCCTCTACCCATCCCTGCTTGCCAGCAACAGATCTGTACATATAAATAGAAACACGCCTTTATAATTAGCTCCCTTTTGCCCAATGTCTTCCAACAAGTCACAGTCCATTGGCTTTCAATAGTTAATGCAAAATGAATGAATGACCAAATGAGGCAGACTGAGTAGAAAGAAGGACAACCTTGTGCCTCAAATACAAAAAGGAAGAGGAGCAGGAGAGCAAAAAAAGAAAAAGAAAATCTTACTGGGGATAATGTTTGTCAGCTGTATTAGCCTTTTAAAAAGCAACCCGCATCACGCAATAGTAGACAGATGGACAAAGGGTGATGATGTAGAGCCAAATCCAGATTCATTCAATGCAGCAATTAATGGCTACATACAATGTGCTTAAATTAGGTGGTCCAGGCACCCGTCGCCCTGCTCCGGATGTCATCAGAACTTGGAGGCTAAGCAGGTTTGGCCCTGGGTGGGAGACCACCAAAGAAGTCCAGAGTTGCTACATAGAAGCAGGCAATGGCATTATCTCCTCTGCCCATTTCTTCCCTTGACAACCCTGTGGGGTTGCCCTTGTCAGCTGTGAATTGCTGGCACTTTCCATTGCCAGGCAGTAGTTGCTGAATCTGTCTTGGGGATGTTTTGTACTGCCATCCCCATTGAAAAAAACCCAAACCTATTAAATGTGATACCTGCAAGTAAGACATACAACCTGGAGGAAAAAAATGGGTGGTCACATAAGATTTTGTGCGGCGACAAATCAGAAGACCTCAGTTCAACTCTCACCTTTGCCATGAGTGCACTAGATGGTCTGAGACCCGTCACGCCGCTTTTTCAGTGTCAGCTCCCCACCCCCACTCACATTTATAATTTTGTTGTTGTTCAGTCGCACAGTCGAGTCCGACTCTTCGCGACCCCATGGATCATCTCCCGCCAGGCCCTCCTGTCTTCCGCCGTCCTCTGAAGTTGGCTCAATTTCATGTTCGTTGCATCTATGACACTGTCTAACCATCTCATCCTTTGCCGTCTCTGTCTTCTTTGAGACTTTTGTTGGCAGGGTGATGTCTCTACTTTTTATCATGCTGTTTAGGTTCGCCATCGCTTTCCTCCCAAGGAGCAGGCGTCTTTTAATTTCATGGCTGCAGTCACAGTCTGCGGTGATCTGGGATCCCAGGAACGTGAAGTCTGTCACTACTTCCACAGCTTCCCCTTCTATTTGCCAAGGAGTGATGGGGCCGGATGCCATGATCTTAGTTTTTTTGATGTTGAGCTTCAAGCCCACTTTTGCGCTCTCCTCTTTTACTCTGAGCAAGAGGCTCTTTAGATCCTTTTCACTTTCAGCCATTAGAGTGGTATCATCTGCATATCTGAGGTTGTTGATCTTTTCCCCAGCAATCTTAATTCCCGCTTGTGATTCATCCAGGCCAGCATTTCGCATGATGTACTCTGCATATATATTAAATAAGCAAGGTGACAGTATACATCCTTGTCGTACTCCTTTTCCTATGCTGAACCAATCAGTTGTTCCGTATCCGGTTCTAACTGTCGCTTCTTGGCCCTTATACAGGTTTCTCAAGAGACATGTGAGGTGGTCTGGTACTCCCATCTCTTTAAGGACCTGCCATAGTTTGTTGTGATCCACACAGTCAAAGGCTTTAGCATAGTCAATGAAGCAGAAGTAGATATTTTTCTGGTACTCTCTTGCTTTCTCCATAATCCAGCGAATGTTGGCAATATGATCTCTCGTTCCTCTACCTCTTCGAAACCCAGCTTGTACTTCTGGTAGTTCTCTATCCACGTACTGTTGAAGCCTAGCTTGTAGGATCTTGAGCATGACCTTGCTAGCGTGTGATATGAGTGCAATTGTGCGATAGTTTGAACATTCCTTGGCATTGCCCTTCTTTGGGATTGGAATGTATACTGATCTTTTCCAATCCTGTGGCCACTGTTGCGTTTTCCAAATTTGCTGGCAAATGGAGTGCAGAACTTTAACAGCATCATCTTCTAAGACTTTGAATAGCTCAGCTGGAATACCATCACCTCCACTAGCTTTGTTGTTAGTAATGCTTTCTAAGGCCCATTTAACTTCACATTCCAGGATGTCTGGCTCAAGGTCAGTGATTATACCGTCGTGTTTGTCAAGGACATTGAGGTCTTTCTTGTATAGTTCTTCTGTGTATTCTTGCCATCTTTTCCTAATCTCTTCTGCTTCTGTTAGGTCCCTACCGTTTTTGTCCTTTATCATGGCCAGCTTTGCATGGAACGCTCCCTTGATTTCTCCAATTTTCTTGAAGAGATCTCTAGTCCTTCCCATTCTATTGTTTTCTTCTATTACTTTGCACTGTTCATTCAGGAAGGCCTCCTTATCTCTCCTTGCTGTTCTCTGGAAATCTGCGTTCAGTTGGGTAAATCTTTCCTTTTCGCCTTTGCCTTTCGCTTTCCTTCTTTCCTCTGCTATTTGTAAAGCCTCATCAGAAAGCCACTTTGCTTTCTTACATTTCTTTTTCTTTGGGATGGTGGTGATTGCTGCCTCCTGTACGATGTCACGAACCTCTGTCCATAGTTCTTCAGGCACTCTATCTATCAAATCCAGACCCTTGAATCTATTCTTCACCTCTACTGTATATTCATCAGGGATGTGATCTAGGTCAAACCTGAATGGCCTCATGGTTTTCCCGATTTTCTTCAGTTTAAGTCTGAATTTTGCAATGAGTAGCTCATGATCTGAACCACAGTCAGCTCCAGGTCTTGTTTTTACTGACTGGATAGAGCTTCTCCATCTTTGACTGCAAATTATATAGTCAATCTGATTTCGGTGTTGCCCATCTGGTGATGTCCATGTGTAGAGTCGCCTCTTAGGTTGTTGGAAAAGGGTGTTCGCTATGACCAGTGTGTTCTCTTGACAAAACTCTGTTAACCTTTGCCCTGCTTCATTTTGCTTTCCAAGGCCAAACTTGTCTGTTATTCCGGTTACCTTTTGACTTCCTACTTTAGCATTCCAGTCCCCTATGATGATGAGGACATCATTTTTTGGTGTTAGTTCTAGGAGGTGTTGTAGGTCTTCATAGAACCGGTCCACTTCAGCCTCTTCTGCATCAGTGGTTGGGGCATAGACTCGGATTACTGTGATGTTGAATGGCTTGCCTTGGAATCGGACAGAAATCATTCTGTCATTTTTGAGGTTGTATCCCAGTACTGACTTTTGCACTCTCTTGTTGACTATAAAGGCCACACCATTTTTTCTACGAGATTCCTGGCCACAGTAGTATATATAATGGTCTTCTGAGTTAAATTCGCCCATTCCTGTCCACTTTAGTTCACTGATTCCTAGGATATCATTTTTAATACAAGAATAATAAAGGCCTAAATACACTTTTTACTGTGTACAGGTCCAACCAGGGCCCTGTCTAGCAACATGCCCTGGGAGTTTTCTGTTGAAACTCAGATTCTCAGGTGCAAGGTACAGTCTACTTGGGATTGGGACAATAGTGTTTGGGGGAAGGGGACTTAAGCCTCTCCCCCCCCCCCATTTTCCCAACCTGAAGCAATCTTGGGGAGCTATTATAGGCTCACTGAGGAAACATGTAGTGCATGTAAGTTTTCCCAGAAGAGAATATAGCAGGCTGTTTCAGGAGAAACGGTGCGGGAGAAGGCTAAAGCCCCTTCTCTCCATGCATCATAGTCCCAATTAAGCTCAGGCCCCCACATACCTAAGAATTTGAGTTTCATCTGGGAACTCCCACATCACATCTGCTTAACCAGCACTGGGGTGGATGTGTTGTTGTAAGGGATACCAACAATATACGGGATCTGAACATCTGAAATTGCTATTATGAGCAATGGGGGTGGAATTAGTGCCTGATTATTGTAAAAAAAAAAACCCAAAAAAACCACCCCTAGTTAAGCACAATGGCCCTGTGACTGGGCCAGTGTACAGTACAAATTCTGTGGGCTCACTCATGCATCAGAGCACTGCTGATATAAAAGTGACCAGTCCCAAAAGATATATCCTTATGAGTCTGAGAACATGGACTTAAGGCCAGTTTGCTCACTAAATATGTGAACCTGCTGAAAAGCATTGCACTTTATTTTTATTATCTCATTTTATTTACATTATTTATAGTCCCCTTTTTTCCAAGGGACCCAAGGTGGATTACACAGAGTGCAGACTTATCCTCACAACAAACACCTTGTGAGGTCGTTTAGACTAAGAGACGGGGGTGTGCTCAATCCATGGCAGAGTGAGGGTTGGCACCTAGTTGTCCCAGGCCCTAATCTGACACTCTAGGCACTCTGCTATGCCAGCACTCAAGTTAGTGGTACTCGACTCCGTCATGTGATGGTTCTTTTCAGACAGCTCAGTTCCATGTGAATGGGGTTGGGGGAGGAGAATTATTATTGGAATCCACACCTGAGATCATAAATAAATATGATTAAGTAATTACATAAGAAATTTTAGAAGTGCTGTGCAAACCCCAACAGCCAGACTCTATGTAATTGCTTTTAAATGCTAGGAAAGGTCCAGAAGATTAAGAGATACCCAATTCAAAGAGGCTACAGAAAGCTCTGTTTGTTGTTTCCCTAGCATCTTGTTATTAAAACACTGGCCAAGGTTTATTTTTAAAATGTTAACTGAGTTGACCCTATTAATTGGGCAGGCATGATGATGTCAAATTGATTATTTTAAAAGACAATGGAAAGTGTCGTTGTGGTTACAGTCCTTCCCTCCCTCTGGATAGCACTGTGCCCAGTTTTTCAAGCACATCAGTAATCTGCAGGAAAACAAACAAACCAAACCAATAAATCATTTCTTGGTTTCTAATTCTTGTCTGGCCAAAACTGGTGAGTCAGCAGAAAAGCACCACTGATGTCGTGGTTTGATATGCTGCCAGCTCTTTCACTGGCCCCTGGTCGTTTCTTTGCACATGTGGGCAGTAATGATATGCACAAACTGCTATGAGTTGGCTGATTTGGTTACTGCAAATGTGTGGTTGGGACCAAAAATGTCAATAGCTTTTAAATGACTGTCTCTGGCCTCCTGAATGTGCCATTTGCATAAAGCAGTTTGGGTTTGAGTGCTGGCAGGTCAGATGGAAGAAACAGCCTCTTTGATGATCTGAAGGGTGGGGGGGAGACTGACTCTCACACAAATGCAATGGGAGAAATTCCATTAACAGAGCCAGCATTTCTTTTTTCTCCAAACAAAGTACATGTGGACCTGATCTGGATCAGAGCTGTGGTGCATGGGGGGGAGGAAGTTTAAGACTTCGCTATCCTCCTGCACCATTTCCTCCTATATCAAATGGCTCCAGAGAGCTATTTTCCCCACTAGGGAACACCTGGGTCCCCCAATGGGAAACAGCAGCCCCCTGAGGCCCTTTTAATATAGGGAAAACTCTTAATTCACACCAGGCCATCAGGCCACCCTTAGACTCTCATGCAGCAGCCCTCACCCAGATCAAATGTGTTTAAGAGAAAAAGAAATTGTGGGGGCTCCATTCATAAAACTCCCAGTATCACATCCATTCTAGAGCTGGGAGTCCTTGGTTGGTGTCAGTCAGGCCTTGGAGGGACGTAAAAGTTGCTCCCTAGGAATCTGATGCAGACTCTGCTTTCTCATCATTTAATGTTTTGCTTGTACCTTTGTAAATAACAGACGTAAATCTTCCAAACGAAAGCTAAACACTGCACTGTAGAGTCTGGAATTTCTCTGTGTTTAGGACAGTGGAGAGGCATGAAGTAATACTATACGCCATTTCAGGATTCTGGTATGGAAAACTGGCTTAGCGTATAGAATGCCTGAAGTCCAAGGCTTGAAAAGACTCCCCACATAGAGAACTTGGAGATATTCTGTTATAGAAGGACTATTGCTCAGAGAGTGTAAGGCTGTTCCTTGGCCCCATGCACAGTATCTAGGGGAATGAAGGATTTGCTTACAGCGGTTACTACAGCTGTACCATTTTGCCATTACCGTAATGATCAGAACATGTTGTAAGGAGATCTTTTTGGAGTTTTCAAAACATGGTGATAGTCCATAGGGCAAAAAGACAAAGAGAAAAACAATGGTGCGCTGGGAAAATGATATTATTCCAATGTAATCATAACCCCCACACGTTTCACATTTGCTTCCTCAGGGGGATCTGTAAAATATAAAAGCAGCAATGATCCCACTGAATCAGCTTTGAAGTACTGCTGCTTTTGTACGTTACAGATCCCCTTCAAGAAGCTAATGCCAAACATGCCAGGGTTATTATTCATTGTTTTTCCACTGTTTTTCTTTGCTTCTTTGCCCGAATTGGTGCAGCCCTTCTTTTTCTTCTTGAAAGACCATGGAGCACTCAATTAAACTGGTGCAGGGCCAGTTCACACGTGCATGAGCCACGATTTCATTTCTCAGCACTTGGTGGCTGGCACTGAAATGTGAGAGTTGGCTGGGGTGGGGATTATGTTTGAGATGAGGTCCAACAATAGATGTGTTCTTTCTGCAAAGTTTGATCAGCAAAGGCTTCTTTAGAAAAGCGAGTCACCGCTTGATGCTGTTGCCAAAGCTCTGAAGGAGGATTCCCATGGGTGTACTCACACAGAAGATGCTTTTAAAAGTGACATCAGAATATGGTGCAACACCCATCTCTTCTAGAAAAAAGGTATGCAAATTTTGATTTTGAAAACATGTCCTATGCTAATTTGCAATTTCTTTCTCAAACTGATCAAGATACCTACTTACCGAGAATTTAATTTTCATGCATCTTAAAATGTAACCACATTCCTGTCTTGCAAAATTAAAATGAGACATGCTTCTCCCCCTTCATCAAGGACCAGAAGAGATCTGGCAGCATGAACACAGGTGCCACTAACTGTTCCACATTATTATGTGAGACTTCTGAAGACCAGCTTTATAACAATCAAAAAACAATCTCCATCTGAACAGAAGCCCTTGAAATTAAAATCTTTGCAAGCTTAAATAAATACAAAGAAGTAAAAACAAAATTGCACACCCCAAATGTTTGTCACAGCTGCAAATATTTCACGTGCACACAACACACACACACACACTCCTGTTTGCTTATTCCAAACCCCAATACCTTCAAAGATGAAGACGCCAGTTCAATGGATGACTCCTCAAGGCCAAGGTCTCTTCTTCTTTCAGCTCGAACCTCAGCATAACTGAATTCAGAAGCATTGGAAAGGATTAAAAAATAGGTCAGAGTAGTTTAAAAAGGTAAAGGTAAAGGTTTCCCTTGCTCAAAAGCCAGTCAAATCCGACTCTAGGGGGTGGTGCTCATCTCTGTTTCCAAGCCGAAGAGCCAGCACTGTCCGAAGACTTTTTCCATGGTCATGTGGCCAACATGACTAAACACCAAGGCGCACGGAACGCTGTTACCTTCCCACCGAAGCACTCCCTATTTATCTACTTGCAATTTCTTGCTTTTGAACTGCTAGACTGGCAGGAGCTGGGGCCAGAGACGAGAGCTCACTCCATCACGCGGCAGGGGTCTCGAACTGCCAAGCTACCAACCTTCTGGTCTGCAGCTCAGCATCTTAACCTCTGAGCCAGCACAGCAACACATGCCCATTTTTTGTTCACAGTGCATAGAGTATATTCCTTCAGAGCTGCATTTCTGTTGTAGTAACAGTACATTTTGCCAGCAATAAAAATGCTATCTTTTGTTCTGGGAAAAATACCACTATTTCTCCAGAAAGCACATTTATTCTAATTAGAACTAACGTGTGGAATGTGGTTCCAGAAGTGTAGTAGATGCCTTTTGGCTACTGTGTGTGACAAAAGGGACTCCACAAGGCACGTCTTCTGCTCTTGCTCTATGGGAATGGTTTTCAAACTTTCTGCCTTCAAGGAACCCTTTCCACACTGGCTTGTCTGCCTTGGCTTTTGCATGTTGGTTAGTCAACAACATATACACATGGATGCATGAAGCTGCCTACCTGGCTGCAGAATTCCCCCCCCCCCCACCGAAGCTCACCAGGCAGTATCTTTACTGACTTTTTAGGAGCCAACTTTTAAAAAACTCTCTTCATTAAGTTTTTAGCTAATTTTCCACTCTTTTGACATTTTAACACTACTCTCTATGGCCTGCCCACTATTCAGAAATAATTTTTCTATGCTGTAGATATTACTAGTTATTGTTTTTGACTTCTGAGAATTCTATTGTCCAGAATTTTCTGAACTGTTTTTAATCATTTTAAATTAACCATATTGTTTATTGCTTGATTCTTATCATCCATGTTGGGTAAGATTTTGGAGAGGGAGGTTAGAAATATGTTAAATAAATGCCTAAATTAGACCCATGAGTCTGTCTGGCTCAGGGTTGTCTACTCTGATTGGCAATGATTCTCCAGGGTCTTGGATAGAGGAAGACTGCTGTCCAGCTCCTGCTTCCTGAGACGTGAAAGGGGAAGTGCTGTGGCTCAGTGGCAAAGCATCGACTTTGCTTGCAGAAAGTCCCAGGTTGAATCCCTGGCATTTCCAGTGAAAAGGAGCAGGTAGTAGGTGCTGTGAAAGTCCTCTAACTGAGACCCCAAAGATCTGCTGCCATTCCAAGTAGCTAATACTGACCTTGATGGACCACTGATCGGTATAAAGCAGCTGCATGTATGAAAGATTGGACATGCATTCTTTTTTTAACTGAAGACAGCAGGGATTGAACTTGAGACCTTCTGCATGCAAGACTGGTGCTCAGCCAGAGACACAGAGAAGAAGTCTCAAAGCATATTTTCGACCACTAAACTAGGGGGAAGTTTGAGCATTACAACATATGTCCCACAGAGCACAGTCCATTCCTATGGGGCACTCTCCAGGTCTGGCTAGGGCTCACCATCCTGCCACATTGACAGCGTGCAACCTAAAATAAACCCAACACTGTCCTGTGGCTACACACTGCAGGGAAAATCACTAGCGAGAGACAAGGTGCTTTTGTGGACCTTTAGCAGCTTTTACTGATTTTTCTGAGCATCTAAGAAACCAGTGAAGTTGCCTTACACTGAATCAGGCCTTTGGTCTGCTTAGCTCAATGCTGTGACAGGCAGTGGCTCTCCTGGATCTGAAGCAGAAATCAGGTTGCCAACAGGTCTGGAGAAGAAGGTTATTTTCTTTTAGCAGAGGTTTGATGTGTAGAAATGGGCAGCTGAGCCTTTTCATGACATGGAGGTAAATAAAATCCACTTAAACCTCTGTTAAAGGGACAGGACTTTTTTCTTCAGGCATCTGGCAACCCTAGGCAGAAAAAGGGCTTTCCTAACCTGAGATCATTTAATTGAACACATCTGGAATTGAATTAGGGGTGTTCTGTGTGCATTTTACCACTGAGCTAAAGGACCCTAAGGATTTCCAGAGTTCCTGGAAGCACGGTTTGAAAACTGCTGCTCAAAATGGGGGAGGGGGAAGAATAATTTAAATTAAATATTATGTTTCTAACAGATAACACAGTGGCAGCTAAGAAACACCTAAAGCCCTGATTTTTTTTTAAAAAAACCCTTTGTTTAAAATATGTTGCTGTCTGTTTTTTAGTTTTTAGTCTATCCATAAAACCACTGGGAAGGGGGAAAGAAACAGCACATAGTAAGCCTAGCAGCCAGCGCTGCTTCCAGGCTTCTGGTTTGGCTGCCAAAGAAATGAGTAATGAAAACACAGTGACATTCTCTGCCCCCAATTCTCAACCATAACCATTTTATATAATTGAGTGCCTTAGCGAGCCAATACACACAGCCAAATATCTGAACAGACATTGTTATGCTTGAAGGCACAGATGAATAGCTGCTGAAGTCCAGGACATTTTCTTACCTAACTACTGTGTGGGTACAGACAATAAATTCAGGCTTGGAGTTCCACTGATGGTATGTGATGTAATAGTGCGTTTGCAGCCATATCCATTGCTGGCCCTTGGTCAAGAATCTATAGTAGCAAGACTTTCCTTTTCCAAACTGCATCACTGTATAGAAAACAATAGTTTTATTAACACCCACACATTACAGCGTTTGTAATCTTTGATCTGAGGAAATGTTAATACTCTTCCCCCCTCATGTGTGTACAAAAACAGAGAAGCAGTTCCCACACAAGTTAAGAGCCAAAGAGCTCGCTATGTCCTGCACACTGAGGGAATTCTGATGCTTTGACTTAACAGACAACCCCAACACACCTCCTCCTGCCAAACAGATTTTGCTCCCTGAGTTTCAAATGCTGCTTAGGGCTCTGGTATCTGTAAAGGTTGCTAGTTTACAGCTCAGAGATCTGCCCCATCCACATGCATCTCTTTGCAGATACAGCTATCTTAAAGTCAGGAGCATGACAGCAGGCAGAAACCTTATCTGAAAACAAAATCCAACAGAGTGCATCACTGCTAGCTCAAACGTTTGCAAGCTTTTGCACTTCAGTGTATAAAAAAGAGCTACTCAAACATCAGCTAAAATATTCTGAAATGGAGTTAAACTTGCCAGGTTGCAGACTGGAGCTCTGCTCTGTTTCTTTTGGCCTACTCCATCTTGTGACCCACCAATTTGACTTCCAGGCACCAGATGTGTACAGCAAAACACTGGGAACTCAATAAGTTTCCTAGTTTGTTGCCTGTCTAGTAATATCAAAAAAACACCTGGCAAAATACAACATGTAGCTGGTGATCCAAGCTTGACTTGGAGGGTCTCATATTATGCAGTCGACTGATTTAGAACATGTCCTGCTTGCTGTGCAGCAAACCCCAAGTCTGGGTCACTACAGCAAGTAGGAGAAACAGGGATGACAGCCAATGCTCCCTCTAAGCTGTGGAGTCTTGTGAGCAAAAAAATCTACTTTGTGAGCTACTGCCATTAAAGTTGTGAGCAAGCGATTTGGCTACTGCATGAATTAGTTTGCTCTGGAGCTCTCCTTCCTGAGCTAGGACAAAAATGTGTGAGCCAGAAGCTAAAAAACTGTGATCTAGCTCACACTAACTCAGCTTAGAGGGAACACTGATGACAGCACCAGGCATGGAACGGTGGGAGACGCCACAGTCTTGACTGGTAGCTTGAAAGCTACTGATGCAAATCTCCAAGCTGCAACCTGACAACCCTTCATACAGGTGACAAAGACCTATGGGGAATAAAAAAGCACAAATGCAGCAGAAGAACCCCATCAAGCTTCACATCATCTGTAAATAAAGTACATAAGCCCCAAGTCTTGAGCTATCCCTGTAACTTCTCACAGCCTGGAGAAGCAGGGAGCGCATAACAGTATCCAGCTGCTACATGCCGAAAACTCATGTAAAACCTTTATTTAACCACGCCAAGTAATGAAATCACAAACTTTTTATCCCAGTCTATTTACACTAGCTGCCACCCAGGTCCTTTGCTTATACAGCAAACCAGCGACCAGAAATTAAATAGCCAGAACTCTTCCTGGCATGGAGACAGGTAGTGGGGAAAGCTTTGCCCTCTAAATTTTTGGTATGTTTAGCTTCTGTTCAAAGGCTCAAGAGCAGGAAAAATAGTGGCAACTCTTCTCAAAGTACGAGTGGGTGGCCAAATTGCTCTTAGCTGCAGAAATAAGTCAGGGTATGGACAGATCCAAGCAGAGCTAAAAGAGAAACTTGCCAAAACACACACACACACACACACAAGCCCTTGGCAGCAAAGTATGCCACTTTAATCTGGTTAATGAGAACATCCAGCACACTCTGTAACAGGTCATGCAATCCAGACAGTGCCAGAAGAGTTAGGGCCGCCTCTGCCGCTGCGGAGATCAGTTTAATTCCTCTTAGTCCGAGCCAGCAGCAAAAGGCATCAGTTGCCTCATTCTGGTTTTAATGTGTCAATCAAATGCACCCAGGGCTTGATTAGTTGTCTACAGTTACTAGGTCCAAAAGAGACCTTCCCCAGTGTAACCTTAAGCTGATTCTGAAGAATGTACAAAGAAAGGGAGGTGCTCATTGGCTAGCACTATAAGATGGTAATAAGGGACATCTTACCTGAACTGTGTTATCATCACCAGATATTGTTAGAAATCTGAGAGGGATAGGAAATAACCTAGGTCTGCATTCAGATCTTGCTAAACCAGAGTTTTTGCAACAAAGGCTACACTAAACACATCACTGGACATTGCACAATCATTTGCCTCCTGGTGTATCTTGTTTAGGCTGATTCCACATATCCATTGGATATTGATGCTATCAGTTGACTGGATTTCCCCAGTGGAGAACAAGACACCCTTGGTTAGCGAATGATTTCTATAGCACATTGATAGTGCAATATCCAGTGTTATGAGAATACAGGCACATTCTGGTTACTCTACCAAACACGTGCTACAAATTTCAGTTTGCACATTAACCCCAGTTTGTCTGCTTTTTGCTCTTCCTCTCAGCAGGGAGGGCATTTGCCCTGTACTTCTGCTTCTGTGGCTATAAAGTATGCTTCTCAACAAACTGCCAACTATGAATTCAAATGTAGCAACAAACTGCAGCTTGGTGCCAAACTGCTGGAGGTATTCATATCATTATCATAATAATCCTTACAATGTTCCTGTAAGATATCTCAATATTGTTATCCCCATATTGCAGATAAGGAAACTGAGACACATAGCCATGTTCACAAGTTACAGGGAATTCAAGTTCAATACACGTACACTTGACTTTTTAAATAAATGCATTGGGTAACTCACATTCATTGTAACATGTGACCAGAGCTAGTATGACTTGTCTATGGTCACCAAGTGAGTTATTGACTAAGGGGAGATCTTCTGAACTGCTTGGGTTGCAGTTTATTCACTGAAACAGTATGCTATACCACCAACCCCTTTTTGTTTGGCTACGATATACCCTATATAGGAAAGAAACCAGCCATGTTAAAATATACAAAATGATACTTCCACAGAAGCAATGGACAAAGTCACTTACACTGTTCATGGCACCTAGCAAGAATCTCCAGGTCATCAGCATGGTAATAGTCATAACCTGAAGTCCCGAGCACCTCAAAAGGTAAGTAACCTATAATAGGTGGGGCTCTAGAAGCAGAAGCAAAAGCAAAGAGAAATCAATACATACAAAGTTTGGCACAGTGTTATTTTGGGAGCTTTTCAGCAAGTTTTAAAAAACAAGAAAACACTACCATTTCCTTTCACCCAGTGTATTATTATAAAACCTTTTTTATTTGGCCTTGCAAAAAAAATATTTTGAGGAACCAACAAGCCTTGGTCACACAGAAAGCTAACTAAGAGATTGCATAAGAGAATGAACATTAATGTAAAAGTAGCCAAGAGTCTTGAGCCATCTACAAGACTAACCGGGTTATTGTAGCGTAAACTTTCCTGGCCTAGAGGCCACTTCATCAGATGCAGGGGGGCTGCAGTCTGTGAAAGGGTATGCCACCATAAATATGTTCATCTTTCAGATGCCACTAGACTCTTTTTTGTTTCTGCTGCAACAGAATAACAAAACTACCAAGCGACCACTGTTTAATTGTTTTGATTACACATAAAAAGGAGGCTGAATTATGTCCCAGGACACAAACAAATAGGAAGCAGAAGAGTGTGTGATTTTATAAGCCATAACTAGCATCCTAATATGCACTTGTGCCTTTACAGCATTTGTCCGGCAAAGCATTTATCTTGACTTTCTGATGGGGATTACTAGAAACTTTTAGTTCTGGTCAAATATTCCATTAGTTCCATGCAGAGGAGCATGAATGACAACTTTTATGTATTGAGGAAACAGTTAATGCTCCTAAAATTACAGCACTGGCAAGAACAAGCTGGAGGGCATTATTGCATAATATTAAAAAATCCCTCTTGTGCTTCCTTTCTTCCAGCTGGCTCACAATACTTTATGGTGGCAGGCAAGTGTTCTAAAGTGACCTACAAATGGGTTTCGGCAGGAAATTACATAGAAAATGCTCATTAAAAATACGAAGTAATTAAGACCACATAGAAAAGCACATCAACATTGTAGAATACACAAAACGTTAATCTGCTGTTTACCAAAGGGAAAAAGAAATCTGAAAAACACTATGGGATTTATTTTTTTTAAGTTGGGGCCAAATCAGACACAGATGCTGGAAGGTCTGTGACCAGATCACAAATGCCTATTTCCTTTTAGAAGTAGCAGCTGCAGGAGACCCTGACTGAGATCAGGACTGAATGGGGAGAGCAATTCAACTCCCCCACTGCATCTTTCCCTTTTCCTTAAATGGCCTCTCTCTGGAGCTACTCTTACCCCATTGGGCAAAACGTGCAAGTTCTACCAAAATCAGCAAGTGAAGCTTTTGGAGAGTTTATTGCTTACTAAGTGCTGCAGAACAAGCTGATAATAAAGACACAGCTTAGAGACGCAAGTTCAAAAGTTGGCTGCCTTAACAATCACTACAGCAAGGTGGAAATTGCTTGGTCCATGGCTGTGACTTGTGAGAGATCCATTAACTTTGCAGAAACATGGAATAATCTGCAATCACTGTGCTTGTTTGCAAATGCGTTGTGAGCAGAGACTTCAGTGGCCTTAAACGGGTGTAACTTTTAAAGCCCTGTATGGCATTGGACCAGCATACCTGAAGGACTGCCTACTGTCTTACAAACCTACCTGACTGCTGCAGTCATCTTCCAAGGCCCTTTCAGATGCCCCACCCCTTCGGAGATTTGGCAGAAGACAACCCAGAGGGAGCCTTCTTGGCCAGGGAGACTCTTCTGTACACTTCTGTTGTTGTCTTCCACCACTGGGAGAAGACTTCATTTCATCTAGCATTAGGGTTGCCAAGTACTCACCTCTCCTGGAGTGGGGGAGTCCGGGGTTGCTCCGGGAGTCTTCGCGTGTGCGCAAAGCGCGCGTGCGCCGCAAGCACGTCACATGGAAGTGACGTAACCACGTCCGGGACATTGGGGGCGGGACCAAAATAATAGTTTTCCCTCGGATGATTGTGGCCCCGCCCCCAACATCCCAGACGTGCTTACGTCACTTCTGTGTGACGTGCTTTGGGGGTGGGGTTCCCCCCGGGGCCCGATCCGGTAGCGCCAGGTAACAGGCCTCCCGGGCGGGGGTTCCCCCCCCCGGGGGGGACTTGGCAGCCCTATCTAGCATTCCCGGCTTCATCCCTACTTCCTGCCCTGTGTTTTAACTGTTTAAGTTTTGTACACATATTTTAGCTTTGGCTTTAATTGTTTTAATGATGTGTTTCTGTTTGGTTTCAATAATTTTTAAGATGTGTTTTTATTATGCATATTTTTACTCTGGTGTACTCTGGTGTACTGATGACAGCAGAAAGTCTGGGTATAAATTCTGTAAATGAAATAAACTCTGTTTAAGACTGCACTGTGAGTCTGCTACAGCAAAAATAAAAGCCTCGTGACACACTAAAGGCTTAACAGATTTATTAAAACATAAACTTGTTATGGGGTATAGCACATTTATGGGGTATAGCCCATTCACCCTATTTTCTTGTAACTGTCACTTTACTTTTTTCTATTGCTATACATAGATCATCCTTTTGTCTGCAATGTGCTGTAGAAAAATTAGCAGAAACAGATGTTTCATCAACAACACCACTACAGGATTTTTAAACTGTGACATGATAATGAGTCAGAATATTAGCTGTGCAACCTGAAAAGGATTCCTCTCTGCCCCCTGCCCCAGCTTATTCATTTCCCAGGATATTTGTAACTTCCTGTGTTGCCTGGAATTGGAGAAAATGGTGACTCAGCATGGTATGAAATGTTTCAATTAAAGTGCAGGAATAACTAGAACAGATGGCTTCTTGTAGTGTCACAAAAAAAGAGAAAAAAAGACACAGAACAGGAACCATCCAACATAAGGAAGACATGCCCCATCCTTGCACATCCACAAAAGTTACTAGTCCACAAGAGAAATTTACTATGCCATTTGCTGACACATATTAAAGTGGGAATCAGCAGCCTGGAAACAAGCCCTGCTTGACACAGGAGAATAGGTGAGAAACTATGTCTAACTAAGCCTTCAGCTGTGTCTCTTTTATTTCTTAAATGTTACTGATATTTAGCTTTTACTCCAGAAATCCATTTAACTACTTCAAATTACAGGATCTTGGATTCCATATCACAGTATTAACAAAGGCACTAGATCAGCATGGTTCATGGTTTTGTAATGTGCCCTATCTCAAAAGAATGAGTTCACTTAGACCAAAGTTAACCACCAAACAGCCTCCATTGTGTAATTTGTAGGCTACTGCTGCTTCATGACAAATGACAGTTGGCACAGCTACCGTGCAGTTTCCTGCAATAAATGTGTAAAATAATAAAAAGCCAATACACAGCCATAATGTCACTGTCATTGGCATTACTGGACTGTTTTTTCCATCACCTTTCTCTGAGACTTCAGTACTACAGTCTTCTCCATTTGACAATTTAATGAGTGTTTGACATCTTGCTGGTATTTTACATTATTCTGCCATTCATATGCAAACAATTTTGACGCTCTGTTTTTAATAGTTGCCTTATTGTCAGTTTATATGCCTGTATCCTCTGCTCTGGTGCTTTGATGGGATATTTTCTGTTTTTGCAGTTTGAGTTTCTATCCCACACCAAAGAACAACTGGCAAACTGCAGTTGCAGGATACCATAGCCAAGCAGTGTTCCCTCTAAGCTGAGTTAGTGTGAGCCAGCCCACAGTTTTTTAGTCCCCGGTTTACACATATTTGTCTTCGCTCAGGAAGGAGGGCTCCAGAGCAAACTAATCTGTGCAGTAGCCAAATTGATTGCTCACAGCTTTAACGCCAGTAGCTCACAAAGGAATTTTTTTGCTCACAAGACCCCCCAGCTTAGAGGGAGCATTGTAGCCAAGTACCCATTTTTTAAAAAACACATGACTGTTTTTATTGTAGATTTTAAAAGATATGATCACCTTGTCCAGACAGTGTGAATAATAGACAAGCCTCTAAAGAGAGCTCACCCAACCTGCAGAGAGTGAGGGTAGTTTCACACCAGTGCCTCAAGATAGGATTTCTTGTGACATTTTCTCGTTCAAAATAGTAACATGATTTTCCATAATCCATTTTCTTTCCAGGACACAGTGTACAATTCATGCCTCATCTGTGAAAGACTCTCCTTTCTAGATATGCATTTAAAACTGCCAGCAACCAATTGCTTAATTTTCAATTGCTTTTTATTGTTTTCATAATCTATTAAAGCTAATAGATTCACATCGTATTTGTAAAGCGACTACATTTACAAGGTGGGGGGGAGAACTGGCCTGGCTTCAGTTTGTGTTAGCTGATTACCTGCTTCAGTGAATCAGTGACTCACATGGCAGGCTTTGCATGTTTACTTGCAAGTTAAATTTCCCACTTGTTTAAGCAGCTTGCTCCCAGGTAGAATGGCCATGACTATCATAATAAAAGACTGCTCTGTTTAATATTTAGAAATACATCATGAAATATCTCATTATAGCACCATAGTTCTCTTGAGCGTGAAAAAAGAATTCCAAGCCTTTATGGTGAAGAGCACGGAGGTGCTTACTTTGAAACACACTTTTCTGGCTAACTCCTAGAGTGGGTGCTGTGTCTGCCCCTGCCTAAATACTGTATGATTTCCACTGTGCCCATAAACTGTATGATGAAAAGTTAACAGGCTGCCAGAACAAGGACAGGGAAAGAATAGGAAGCCACAGCAGACAATTTCAAGCAGCGAGTGTTTTCTCCATTTGATTTATGCCACAATAAATCCATTGAGTCTTTAAAGTGCCACAACATGATTCGTTTTTGGTTTTCCTCTATGAGTCGTTATGTTTCATTTCAATGTGTTAGTCTTTTTATAAAGTCACAAATAAAGTTTTTTCTTTAAAAGGACTGGGAAACATGATTATTTCTTCTTCTTCTTTGCCCTCTTCTAGGTCAGGTATTTGTGAATCTCCTGCATTGTTCAGGGAACTGGACTAGATGACCCTGGAGGTCCCTTCCAACGCTATGATTCTATAATTCTATTCTATGATTTAGGCCTAAAGATGGGCTAGTAATATTCAAGATTCATAATCTGAAATCCCCCCCTTTCCCTTCAATAACACGGAATGGGGAGGTCTTATGAATGAATGAGTGTGTGTGTGTGTGTGTGAAGTGCTGTCAAGTCGAAACCAGTTTATGGCAACCCCATAGGGTTTTCAAGACAAGTGATTAAGCAGAGGTGGTTTGCCATTACTTTCCTCTGTAAAGGCTTTTGTTGGTGATGCCCCATCCAAGTACCATTCCACAGCCCAGGTAAGTCTCATAGGAGGTATAAACTATATTTATTCTTCCCATATTGTCCCCCCATGACATGCAAACATTCAGAACCATCAACTGTGCTGCAAAGTTAACATGTAAATCAGCTCCTTTTCTATAAAATTACTAAAACTATACTGATCAGTTACTTGTTGATGGATCATCTCCCTTATGAAGAAAGCCTTTAAAAATGGGGTTTTCCCCCCATGCATCATGTGCAACAGGGTTGGAGGGGGGGAGCACAGCAGATTTTGAATCAGAAGTTTCAGAGAAAATCAAGAGGGAGGAAAATACTCCCTCCCTCCTTTCCCTTTTTCACAAAATAACAAGAATTCAGAGTTTTTTGGTTTAAGGAACAGAACAAGTTAAAAGGATGTACTGCTTCATACAATGAGCAAGTAACCAGTGGAACACCTATTGCCATAGGGTGTTGTGAAAGCTTTGAACACAGTTCAGTTTTCTACAACAGTGGGATGAATACATGGAAGAGAGGTCTGTTAATGGTTAGAATACTTGCAATGATAATTAGATAATCCCCATGCTTAGGAGCACATTGACTCTGATTATCTGATCTCGGGGATTAGTAGAAGTTGCAGATAGAAAGAATGTTGAGTTCGATGAAACATTTGTTGACCTCACATGGAATTTCGGTTCTCTGTAGCTTACTTAACTTGATGATTAGTCCAGCCCTTGCAAGGAGAGGAATAGCTTATCCACCACAAATGCCTCCAACTCTACATCAAGATTTTTCAGAAACCTGTTGCTTAAAAATACACACATCTCAATGATGAGATATAGAAAGATCATTGAAAACAGAGAGTTGCCTATCCACAAAGAACAGACATGGCTGACGGGGGCCTATCCAGACTAAGAGCCTGACAATCAGCAGTAAGATCTGCACAAATCCTGTGATCAAAAAATTTCAATCTAGGGAATTAATGGTTGTGAACATGGATGCAATCAGTTCCACCCAATATCCATAACCTAATAAACACCAACAAGCAGCCCCACAGGATTTGACTTGCCACATAAAGTACGGAAGATGGTTAACAGAATACAAACAGGCTATGGCAGTTGTGCAGACCTGTTGTTTAAATGAGGCAAAATACCAGAACCCAAATGTGACTGTGGTGCAGCCCGCCAAATTATTTTCCATCTGTCACAGGAAGGTGAGTGTCATGCTTTCCAGGGAGATGTGACGGAGCTCTTTGAACTCTCCCCAGCTGCAATTCAGTGGATTGAAAATTTAGATATTCATATTTAGGGGGACTGCCCAATCAGTTTGCATACCTATTGTATCAACTTGGTTCCATATTTTATATCATTATATGCTTCCCGTGTGTAACTCTGCCATATCATATAACAACAACACATATCTCACCTGTGGTCTAGAAACAAAAATTTCCATTCCAGACTGTGCCTTGATGTGAATTCTTCACACGGTTCCTCCACATTACAAAGTTCCTGTAGGAACAGATGGCAAGTTTGGGGGTTTCTTTTTCCTTTTATAAAGATGTTAACTTGGAAAACAAATAGATTTTCTGACAAACACATAGGACCATATGGTAAGCAAGGCCACTGGACATCCAGGCTTCTGAAAATATGACGTAACTTCTCCAGACTTCATCCATCTAAGATATATACATTTTCACAGTATGGGTGCATCAACTTGGCCAAGGCCACAGTGTTAGGATTACAACCCAGTGGACCAATGCGATGCAAAACTTCCAGAGAGCATTCTGATGGTAAAGGGCTTGCAAAGTCATATTTAACTGGTATGAGTGTTCTACTTCAAATGGCAACACCCCACACTTCTGGAATGTGGCGTTCTATGAGGCAAGCCTATGCAGAGTCACTCCAGTGTGTAATCCCAATGAAATCGATGGGAATAGACTGGAGTAACTCTGCATCGGATTGCACCACCAAGCACATGGCATTCGATTGCAAACCCTGATCAAGTAGGCATGATGTGGGCTTTCCTGCAGCACCACCCCAAATCTAGTCACATGATTATTCTCACCTGTAGCACAGGTAGTAAAAAAACTGCTATGGTCTTATAGGGGAACAGCACAAGAGCATTTGTTGCTTTTCAAGGATCAAATATGCTAAAAGCACATATCTGACAACCTTTTGCCTTTGCAGAGCAGACCTCAGGCATTCATCTTTATCTGACTGCCACTTTGCTCAGTACTGATCATTCTTACATTCCCCAGTCCTTCCTGTGCTGAGGATTGACTTAGTGATCTGTGAAAGTACAGCAGCTCCCTGATTGATTTTACATCTTGTAAACATAAGCTGGGCCCAGCCTATATCACTTTTGAATGTTGGGAGTGGGGGGAACTGTCACACAATAGACTGCTTCCCCGCAAAATATCCTACTTGTAGAACACTAGCATGTCAGGGAGAAGCCTTTACTTGAATTTTCCTCCCTGACATTTACTTTTTTTACATAGGGAATAGCATTCAATCATGTGAGCTCCTCCCCCTCCCCCCACAATAGTACAATCCAGACAGTTTTACCACTACAGCTGGTATGGGGGTGTGTGTGTCAGGAGTTGTTGGGGGGTTTTTTAAGCAGCACAATCAATCAGTCAGTCAGCCAGCTCTGACTATGGAAAGTCAGCATGCCAAGGAAACCGGCTCTAGTCCTGCTGTATTCCTGCTTGCTTTCTACATTCAGGAAAAGGATTCCCCCCCCTTTTTTTCTTATATGGGTGAGCATTCAAAACATTCATCTTCATTCCAAAGTCATATAGCCTGAGAATGACTCTACTGTAATTTATTCTGAACATAATGTAGGGCCCAGTGGCAGCTATAGGCTTCTCCTCCCTGCCCCCACTGCAAACTTTTGCCCCACTACTATGGATAAAACCCATCTGGGTATTGCAATACTACACTGACCCAAGAGACTGCATACCTTTAAGAACTGTGGAGTAACAAGACGGACCGTGGCTACCAGGCAGACCTGCTCTTCATTTGCTGACCGGAACACTCGTGCAATGGCAGATTCAAAGCCATTATAAGAGGATGTAGGCACTGAAAGCAGAAAACAAGAAAGAAGCATTCACAAAGCAATATCACAGTCATTATGCTTCAAGGAAAACATCCCCCCCAACCACTCCTCCAATTTTGTTTGTAGAAAAGAGCCAGAGTATCTGAAGAAGTGAGCAGTGACTCACAAAAACTCATACCCTGTCACAAATTTTGTTAGTCTTTAAGGCGCTACTAGAAGCTTGCTCTTTTTCACTGCTACAAACAGACGGACACAGCTACCTGTGATCTATCTCTATTTAAGTTGTTATTCTCTATCCTTTCTGGAAGGCCAGTCACCACAAGCCAGTATTTATTTTTATTTAGATATTTATACCCCACTTTTATTCCCAATGGAGACTCGTAGGGATGGGTACGAACCAGGGAAATGAAAAGGGTTCCCGTTTAACCAACTTCTGTAGGCGGTGCATGAATCTGAAAGTGAGCAGGGGGGGGGGCAGCTGTATGTGTGTGCCACCACACACAGCCGCCCATGCGCACTCACTTCTGGCTTCACAGGCTGGTTAAATGGGAACCCTTTCAATTTCCCCAGTTTGTGCCCATCCCTAGAAACTAGGGTTGCCACAAGCTTGAAGACAACTCCGCCCCCCCAAAATTCTTTCCCTTTAGCAAATAACATCCCATTAAGGGGGCAGGGCATATTTTCTACAGGTTGCTGGCAACCCTAATGGGGACCCAAAGCAGCTTACACCACCACCACCACCCCCGCCCTTCCATTTTAACCAGGGTCTCCCAGATCCTAGCCTGACACTTAAACCAGTGCAAGTGCTGGCTCTCTCTGCTTGTGTGAGCAATTGTTTAAAAAATTTCTGCCTAACAATGCTGTGTAGGAGTGATTATTTCAGAAATGTCAATGCTGCATTGTTAATAGTGGGAGGGCTTGTGAAAACAGGCCATGAAAAATTAAAGAGGCGGAGGAATACCCCTCTGAGTGCTGTTGTAATTGCCAGGTAGAGAACAGAAGGAAAGTGGGAGAAAGAAAGAAAAATTATGGTGTGGCTTCCCCACAAGGAATACTTTATTCTATGCCAAAGCAACTGAAATATACTGCACAACAGATCAACTCCGAAACAAAAAGGAAAGTATTATTTCCCTCCTTCAAGAAACTTCATGACAATCAATAAAGAAAATAAGTTTTAAAAAAACACCACCAGAAACTTCAGCTATTCATGGAATGTGAAGCAACCTGTGTCTTACTGAAGAGTTCTATGGAACTCCGAATTCTGTATATTCCTATATCAACAAAGCTTAATCCAACAAAAATTGGGTACACATAGGTTTCACTATGTATTTAACTTGTTTACTACATTTGTAACCCACTGTTCTTCCCAATAGGGACCCAAAGCAGCTTACATCATTCTCCTGTCTTCCATTTTATCTTCACAAAGGCCCTGTGAGGTTATGCTGAGAATGTGATTGGCCCAAGGTCACCCAACAAGCTTCCACGACAAAGTGAGGATTCAAACTTGGGTCTCCCAGATCCTAGTCTAACACTCTAACCACTACACCACACTGACTCTCTGGTTTCTCCAAAGGGCAGGACAACAGAGCAGGGGGAAAAGCTTAAATCCCCTCCGTAGCATATAAGGTAAAGGTTCCCTTGCTCGAAAGCCAGTCAAGACCGACTCTAGGGTTGCAGTGCTCATCTCCATTTCAAAGTCGAAGAACCAGCGCTGTCCGAAGACGTTTCCGTGGTCATGTGGCCAGCATGACTAAACACCAAGGTGCACGGAACACTGTTACCTTCCCACCAAAGTGGTACCTATTTATCTACTTGCAATTTCTTGCTTTTGAACTGCTAGGTTGGCAGGAGCTGGAACTAGAGACGGGAGCTCGCTCTGTCATGCGGCAACTCGGGTCTCGAACTGCTGAACTACTGACCTTCCACAGCCTGCAGTTCAGTGTCTTAACCACTTGAGCCACCGCAGCTCCTTCTGTAGCATATACCATAGTCCTAATTCAAATCAGGCCCCTGTCCACAAGGAAATTGAGTTCCCAATGGAGAACTTGTAACACACATCTGATATAAAGTCCTTGTGGCAGACCTAGACATAATACAGGGACTATACAATGTGTAGTCTGGGCCCTTGAGAAATCCCAGGTTCAGATCCCTACTTGACCATGATGCTCACTGCATGACCTTGGCTTGGTCACAGTCTTTGAAGCCTAATCCTCCTCACAGAAGAAAAAATGGGGAAGGTGAGAAGTATGCACACCTCCCAGAAAAACAGTTTGCTTACCAGTAACTGGTGATCTTCGAGTGGTCATCTGTGCATTCACACCAATGGGTTTAGTGCGCACGCGCTGAACCGACCGGTGCTGTAGCAAGCTCTCTTCAGAGGATTTTCGCGCCCGTTTACCTCAGGCAAGCGCAGGAACCCAGTGCGCATGCCCAGAGGGGCGGGCGCGGACATCCCGCCAGTTCCTTCAGAGCACTGCCGCGTAAACAACCTCTATTCAAAAATGTAGAAGCTGTCAGCAGCGGGGAAGGAGGGCGGTTGGTGTGAATGCACAGATGACCACTCGAAGATCACCAGTTACTGGTAAGCAACCTGTTTATCTTCTTCGTGGTCTCTGTGCTTCACACCAATGGGAGATTAGCGAGCATTATCCTACCTGGAGGAGGGTGCTGGCAGGATAGTCACCGCTGGACTGAAGATAAAACTTGTCGTCCTATGCTGGTATTGGTCTTTCGGACGTCTAGGGCGTAATGCCTGATAAAGGTGTTAGGCGTGGCCCATGTTGCAGCCTTACAAATGTCCTGGAGCGGTACTCCGCTGAGGAAAGCAGTGGATGTCGCGAGAGCCCTGGTAGAATGGGCTCTGATTGGTCCAGGTAACGGCTGTTTCGCCAGGAGATAACATAGCCGAATGAGACCCACGATCCACTTGGATAGCCTTTGCGCAGTAATGCGAGTACCGGTTCGCGATGAAGCGTATGACACAAACAGATGTGGATCACACCTAGTTGGTCGTGTTCTTTTCAGGTAAAACAAGAGAGTCCTCTTGACATCCAGATTACGCAGCAGATGGTCCTCATCCGTTTTAGGGTTAGGGAAAAAGTCCGGTAAGCTTGTAGATGAAACTCCGAAACCACTTTCAGCAAGAAAGTGATATCTGGCAGGAGACAGACCCCACCAGGGAGTATAGAAAGGTAAGGTGGGTCATGCCGAAAGGCTAACAGTTCTCCCACCCGTCTGGCTGATGTGATTGCGGTTAAAAAGGCTGCTTTCCAAGCAAGGAGCCGTAACTCACAAGTAGCCAAAGGTTCAAACGGCTTCCGTGTTAACTGACGCAAGACTAGAGGTAAGTCCCAAGGAGCAACTGGGGATTTAATTGGAGGGTAGAGACGTAACAAACCCTTCAGAAAACGTTTGGTGACCGGATGTGTGAACAGTGAACAACCATCAATTTGAACATGGAATGCTGATAAAGCAGCTAAATAAACACGTAACGAGGAATGGGAAAGCCCCGAGTCAGCAAGGGATAAAAGAAATGAAAAAACTTTCTCTAGACCAGCTGATGTGGCATGAGATGTGTCAGTCCCGACGAAGGCACAAAACCTTTTCCACTTATATTCATAAGATTTGCGAGTGGATGGTTTCCTCGCATTCAGCAGTACATGTGCTATACAGTCTGAGAAGTTTGGGGTTCTATACGCCACGCCGTCAGCTTCAGTGTCTTCACATTGTGATGCAGTATCGGCGAGTTAGCGAGACAAAGGAGGTCTGGGACCGAAGGAAAGTGGTAATACGTTCCCTGAGACAGTTCCAGGAGCGTCGAGAACCAGGGCTGTCTGGGCCACCATGGTGTTATCAATATCACCTTCGCATTCTCCGTGAGGATCCTGCGGACTACCCGGAAGATTAGAGGCAGGGGAGGAAACATGTACAGATGTCTCGCTGACCATGGGTAAAGAAGGCCATCCCCTAAGGACTGGGCTCCTTGACCTCCCCAGCTGCAGAAGAGGCGACACTTCCTGTTGTCTTTGGTCGCAAAGATGTCGACTTGGGGAGTCCCCCACCTCTGGAAGAGTGGGAGGGGGTAGGTAGATTTTATTCCCCATTCGTGAAGGCTGAGACCGGAGCGGCTTAGGCGGTCCGCTTGTAGATTTAACCTTCCCGGTATGTGAGTGGCCACTAGGAATATGTCCTCGGCTCTGCAGAAGTTCCAGAGAGCTATCGCCAGATCGCAGAGATGATTGGAAACAGTGCCGCCCTGCCTGTTTATATACGACAGTGCCGTAGTGTTGTCTGTGAGAATGTTTACACATTTCCCCTTGATCAGAGGGAGGAAGCTGGCCACTGCATTGTGAACGGCTAAGAGTTCCAAGTAGTTGATGTGGTTCCGTCTCATGATGGTATCCCAAACGTTTCCTACGGAATAACCCATAGAATGGGCTCCCCAACCTTTCATGGAAGCGTCAGTGGTAATGACGACTTCTGGCGATGGTGGGTGAAAAGGAGCCCCTTGGATGAGGTTGGATCACAGTGTCCACCATTGCAGAGAGTCCCGAACATGAGAGGGCAGGGAAAGCATCACTGTGTGGGCGTTCTTTGAAGGCTCGTAATTGCGGAGAAACCAGAGTTGAAGCTGTCGCATTTGTAGCCTTGCAAAAACTAAGACTGCCGTTGTAGCGGCCATGAGACCCAGAAGTCTTTGAATGGTGTGGGCCGTGGAAGTAGGGCTCGCACAAACTAAAGCGGCCAGAGATACTATGTCCGCAGCCCTGTCTGGTGGCAGGTAAGCTGTGCAGGTGGTCGAATCGAATATCGCCCCTATGTACTGGATTTTCTGTACAGGGCAAAGGTGGGATTTCTGGTAGTTGACCTTCAACCCTAAGTTGTCCAGAAGAGACAGGGTTTCTGCGACGTTTGAATGCAGAATGGTTTCTGAAGGGGCGACTATGAGCCAGTCGTCTATGTAGGGATATATTGAGATCCCTCTGAGCCGTAGAAATGCTGCTACAATGACCATCGTCTTGGTGAACACCCGTGGGGCGCTGGACAGACCGAAAGGGAGAGACTTGTATTGGAAGTGTCGTTGGTCTGCTGCAAACCGTAGATATTAGCGGTGGAAGGGGTGGATGGTAATGTGAAAATATGCATCCTGAAGGTCCAGGGTAGCCATCCAAACTCCCTCGCGAAGTAACGGCAGAATCTGATGGAGGGAGACCATACGAAAACGGTGGTACAGGACGTACTGGTTGAGACCCCTTAGGTCTAGAATGGGTCGTAGGCTGCTGTCCCGTTTCAGTACAGTAAAATACCGGGAGTAAAAACCCCTCCCTTGGAGGTTTGTTGGTACTAGTTCGATGGCTCCCTTTTGCAGAAGGAGGGACACCTCCCTAAGGAGGGGGGGAGGGTGGCGTGAAGACGACAACTGGCACGTCGGGGTTCCGTTGGAATTGGATTTTGTAGCCTCGGGTCAAGATAGAGAGGACCCATTCGTCCGATGTTATGGAACGCCATGATTGGAGAAAAGGGTATAGGCGAGTGGGGGTAAAATTGGGTGCTGACTCGGGGGTAGGGAAGTCAAAAACCCTGTTTGGAGGGCTGTTTAGATTGTTTGCTACATGAAGTTTGTTGTGTGGCACCAAATTTTGGTTTCTGGTAGCTGGATTTCTGGGTACCAGAATAAAACCGAGGCCTCCATCTGGAATCAGGCGACTGATGTGATGGCATACATTTTTGCCATGGTCTGGACCAAGTGCGTAACCGTTGAGGTTGCCTGTTGGATGAAGTCACTCCCAATGCTCTTGATGCCTTGATACTCTTATCAAGTTCCTGCAGAGATGAGTCTGTGTTAGTATTGAAGAGACCTTGTCTGTCAAATGGCATATCTTCAACTTGAGACCTGGTGTCCAGTGGAAGGGATGTATTCCGTAGCCATGAAGGCCTTCTCAGCACTACAGCCGATGCCATCGTCCTTGACGACGCCTGTAACACATGTTTAGTTGTAGTCAACTGCTGTTTGGCCACTACCATGCCTTCTTTCTGAAGAGTCTTGGCCTGACGTTGCTTGTCCTCTGGCAGGTCGGAGAGTAAATCCGTAAACTTCTCCCAAAGGGAATATTGATAGCAACTCATGCAGGCTAAATAGGTAGGCCGCTTTACAGCTAAAGCTCCCGAGGAATAGAAACGACGTCCAAAGGCATCTAGTTTTCGTCCTTCCTTGTCAGACGGAGTGGTATGGGTTCTACGAAGATGAAGTAACAACCATGGAATTCGGATTTGGATGTGTCGTTAAGAAATCTGCCTCTGGATCTTGGATCCTGTACATATGATCCAATTTTCTGGAAGAAACAGGAGTCAAAGACGGATTCTTCCAGGGAGCTTTTGCTGCCTCAAGCAGAACAGAAGACATAGGTAGTGCCAATACAGAAGAAGTGTCCAGCTGTACAACATCATAAAGTGAGTCATTGGATTGTGGAGGTTTTTGAACTACTGAAAGATTTAAGGCAGTAGCCATCCTTTTAATCAAGTCCGTGTAGGTATTAAGGTTATCAGACGGAGAAATTGGCAAATCATGTGCCACATCAGAAGTCGGAGACGTGTGGTCCAGAGACGTCGGGATTACAGAAGCATCAGTATCCGAATCTTCCTCTGGAGCATCCGAGGAATCTTGTTCTGTGTCGGATTGCGGAATGATCGGAACAAGAGGTACCACAGGCGTCTTAGGGTCTGGAGGGGCCATGGGCATTTTTGGCCGAACCCCAACTCCAGTGGGGGTGGTACAGGGTCCACTGAAGACAGATCAGAAACAGGCGGGCGTGAGACTGTTGAAGATGGGCGAGATCTAATAGGTGAGCGTGATCTGTGTTCAGAGCGAACAGAGTATCGGTCCCAATCCGAAAAGGCAGCTGGGGTTAGCCATGGCACTGGCGGATAGTATGGGCCGTATAACTATCTCAACTGTTTCTCATCCCATGTGAGTGGCGGTCTATACGCTCTAGGGGAACGGCTCCTGTTCCTCGAAGGTCTTGGGGAGGTTAGCATGCCATGTCCTTGGGACGTATGCCGGTATACGGATGCATCAATATCGATCGGCTGTAGAAATGTAGATGGATGGTGACGCTCCATAGTAGATCGTGCTCGATGCCGATACTCGTCGGTGTCATGCGGTTCTGAATGCATCGATACCGATGAATTAGACGGAGCGGGGGGAAACTCTGCACCTATTGGGTGACTGACGAGTTCCGCCGTGTCGATGTCGATGGATTCTGGTACCTGTTGGTGCACAGGGGAGGCCAAGAGACCACTAGGCGACGTCTGTGGTGGTGGAGGCTCCGGTATCGACACCACCTTCGGCGTAGATGGCTGCAATAAAATGTCTTCAGACGGTAGTGTCTTACCCTTTTTTGATGGCATAGGCGTTGATTTGGTAGACCTAGAGGTACCTGTCTTTGCGGCTTTCGTTTTGGCAGTATCTTTCGACATCCCCGAAGTAGTTTTCGATGTCGATTTCTTCGACGTCGACTGGTCAGTACCGATGGCCTTTTTAGATGTAGAAGGTGGTTCCTCCATGGTTGAAGGCGGATTAAGGGCAGACTCCAGTAACGCAACTTTTAAGCGAGCAGCACGATTTTTCTTAGTTTGATTAGAGAATTTCGCACAGTGTCCACAAGTCTCTGATTTGTGGGACTCTCCCAGACAAAACAAACACAGTTTATGGCCATCGGGGGGAGCCAACAAAGAAGAACTTTTTGAAGAAAAAAAGAGGAGCTAGATGGCCCAAAGGCAACTACAGCGAACCAAGTCGGAGGAGAGCAAAGTCGATCCTTTCAATGTGGCGGTCAAAAGAGAACTGGCGGGATGTCCGCGCCTGCCCCTCTGGGCATGTGCGCTGGGTTCCTGCACTTGCCTGAGGTAAACAGGCACAAAAATCCTCTGAAGAGAGCTTGCTACAGCACCGGTCGGTTCAGCGCGTGCACACTAAACCCACTGGTGTGAAGCACAGAGACCACGAAGAAGATCTACTTGAAAGACAGATGGGTCAATAACGTGATACTCCAGAGTATGCAAATAATAGATTCATACAACCAAGTTTCACGTGATTAACAAATTAACTGGGTGAAGGCCTTGATAATAGAACCCTTTCTGCAAGTTCTGTATCTTTCCCTTTAAGCTCCCCTCAATTAACAATTAGGGTATCGTGTAATAACTGAGTATTTAAAAATTATGGTCCTAGCATTCTAATTTCCTTGAAGGAAATTACACATTCATTTTAAGAGAAAACCAATCTTCACGTCTCAGGTTTGGCTGGCGTAGCTGCCTAAGGGCTTGAGAAAAATTGATCAGTGACAACTTCCAGTTCATGTGAGTACCATGATGCCAGAATTCACCTGTCAGTACTACTTGATAGTCACAACTGCAGTCAACTGATGTCATGGCCTGAACCCAGAACCTTTGGCGTGCAAAGCAGATGCTGTCATGGAGCCACAGCCCCACCCTATGCATATCATTACATGATCATTCACCTGCCAGTATTACAGAAATGGGTCATCAATGCATTGCAGAAACACTCCCACGTTTCTGGGAATACATCCACAGACAGCTGTTTTTCAGAGATTTGAAGACGGCCCTTCTTGCTCATGGCAGACATTCATTTCTTCTGTTCTAGCTTTCTAGTCAGACTTCACAGGTTTCCAAAGCACTATAAAACCTTAAAGAACTTGTTTGATCAAAAGCCAAGAATTAAGAAGTGTACTTCAGCCAATGATGGCACTTTCAAGTGCCTGGAAAAACTACGTCCAACCACAGGAAAGACCAGTAGCTTCATTTCCATAAAATGTTGTTTTAGATTTAATCAAGGTCCCCAACAGGCTATGATCTGTGGGCCATGTCATATTCTGCAAAAAAGGAAGCGTTAATGGCTCATGCTCCCTATTTTCCTGTTTCTACGGCAAGGTAGGAAAAGGGACTTGGAGACTGGCCAATAAGGGATATATCGGCGGCGATTCGACAGGAAGAACATGGCGGCGAAACCGACATCAAGCTGCAGATGTTCCGGGCGGGGAGTGGCCCAGAGACGCGTCGACGGAGCACGGCCGGAGCCAATCGGACAGAGGTCGGGGCAGCAGTCGTCACACAGTCGCGGACTGTGGAGCCAACCCAGAAGGAGCCGCTGCAGAGCCGCGCCGAGATAGAACCCACCACAAAGCCGCAGGAAGAAAGAACAAGCCGGCTGGGTGCCTGGTAGGCACTCACCTCCCCCAGATATATACATTGCGGCCCTAGCTAGAAGTATGATATGCCTATGTAAACCGCTCAGAGCCTCCGGGATTGAGCGGTATAAAAATTGGAAAAATAAATAAATAAATAAATAAATACATACATACATAAATAATATTCATCAATCCCAGATGATTTCTGTAGCTCGTGCCTCTTCTTCTTCTACATAATGCCTAGTTTTTAAAAAACTTTTGAATGTATGAAAAAAACAGATAGCCAGAGAGAAAGAAAAAGGCAATGGCTTACCATGAGTAAAATATTTGAATTCTACTACAAATTTCACATGTTCATATGTGATGGGTTCATTTGGATCTAAGTTTCCTCGGGCTAAATGACAACAAAATTCTATCTGCTTTTCAGCTGAAAAGAGAAGAGATTTGTTCAGACATGTTAAATATCAGTCACTAGGCTTTCCATCTCATCCCTTCAGAAAGCTTCAGATACCGCCCACCCATATAAAGATAATCACAAAAAACAGTACTAGCACTTCTTAGAGCCCCTCTTAAAAACACCCATTTTCTCTGGACAAGCCAAACTTTTTATTACAATTGATCATTTCCATGTACAAAGTGATTAACAGAGCAATTCTTTGGGGGGGGGATTGGAATATGGAGCCAATTGACCCCTATGCTGGCGTAACTTGGATTTATGCTGGTGTAAGGGGCGTTTACGCCAATGCAGGGTATGAGTGGTGCTCCACTGTGCACTTTCACCGGTGCAGCTGCACACCAGCAGATTGACAGCACGAACCCCTGTGCCAGCGTAAATGCGGGTGCCAGGGGGCATGGCACCAGTTAGTCGGTTATGGCAACTCCTAATTCAGCCCCCCCACAGGTGCGGCCATGCCCACAGGAACCCATGCAGCTCAGGATACCAACCAAGTGTGCATCCAATCAACACATCCCCCCATGCTGGTTCCGCCCACCCCCAGCATCCAATCACAGCCCATCCCACCCTACAAATCGTTCCAGGAAGTCACATCGCAACTCCAGAGGTAGGCCACGTGGCACAGAATGCTGTCTGATAGCTCCCTGCTGTGCAGACTTAAGAGCTAGTGCACATGCACTTCAGTGGCATGCAAAACACAGACAGGGCACCTAGCACCACTGGGCGAGCACTTACAGGGAATACACCACTAGGAGAGCAAAGTCCAGACTCTGTGGCTGACCTCTCCCAGATTTCAGTCCCCACAGGTACACCAGCATATTCACCAGGATCCCAAGGGGCAGCCACACACAAACAGGTAATCAAGGCACCCAATCCCCATTGCCCCCTTGGCCAATAACAGTGGCAATGAGCTACACTGGACACAGCACCTCCCACTCCTGAACCCAGCAGCTGGGGTGGGGGGCAGCAGCGGTCCCCCAGATGAACACGGACCCTGCGCACCACGTAGGTAGGTGTGTCAGGGGTTGCCCGAGGCTGCATGCTCAACCAGTTGGCAGCACTCCCCCTGCACAAAACACTGCAGCAGATGGGGAGCCCCACTAACCTAAGTGCAGAGTGATCCCACATGATGGGCAAACCATTCCCTTGCAGGTGCAGAATGCCCTGACGCTGCTGACAAAGTGCTTCCCCGGATATGCAAATGAGGGGCTCGGACGGCACATAGCAGCAACTATTGGGCAACCTCGACCACTGAGGGAAAAAACCAAAGGGAGCCACGGTTGACATGTGCATCAGCCTTCCTGATAGCCCTCCTGCAGCCCAGCTACCACAAGAGTAAATGCCATTGCTATGGATGCCAAGACAGGCCCCATCCACCCACAACCATCCTGGGGCCCAGTGCCCGCAAAGCTAGGAGTGTCCACACTTTGTGAGGTGGGTGCATGGGGCCTGCAACGTAGAGGGATTGGCCATCCATGTGGATGTGCAGTTCATTCCATCACACACACACACACACACACACCGTATTTGCAGAAATTGCAGGTTGACCCAATGGCCACTCATGCAACCAACCGGCACATGCCTAAACCATCTCAAATGGTGGAAATTCCTAGCTCTGCAGACACTGATGTCCCTTCCTCTTTTCAAGGTACCAAACCATTGTGAAAAACAGAAGGGGTAACTGAGGGACCCAGTACTGCACAGACCCATTCTGGCGCTGTCGACACACTCCCTGCAGAGGCCAGAGGCTCCAAGGGCTGCAGCATATAGGCCATGGGGATGCCACCCTAGTCCCGGCTGAGCCCTGTACCTGGTCACCTGAGACCAGGGGATGTGGCTGCTGGTACCCCAGGAGGGGGGATTCTGGCCCCTGGGCACAGGGCCTCGTCTGGTACAGCCCATCCCACCTGCCCTTTCCTCCATGTGGGTGCCAATTTAGCATGAGCAGCTGGAGAGCCATCATGATTGACGAAGCCTTTTCCAGGGCAGCGACAGATGTAGGGGTTGGCAGCATCGGTAACAGCAGCTGCTGGGCACCTGGAAGGGCTTCTTGCCATAGTGAGGGAAGCAGGTGAGGGACACAGGTGCATTGAGAGGCTGCTGGGGGACCTCTAAGACTCTCTCTGGTTCCCCAGGTCCCCCCCCGTGCCCCTCCTTCTGCTCTGCCTCCAGTGGGGGTGGCACACAGGTTGGCACAGGAACACCCTCGACAATGTGGGTGCCCATTTGGCCACCGCGGCTGGCAGTGAGCACAGGGCACCCTAATGTCCATGCTCTTGTCTGTTGTTGCCCTCTGGAGCCCTGTGCACTGTGCATGTGGAGTGCCACCACAGGGTGCTCTTTATGCATAGCAGCACCATGAGGTGCCGCCCTTCCCACTGACAGGTGCACCAGGCTTGTGACAGGAGCCGGTTGCTCTGGGGGAGGGGTATGAGGCAGAGGAGGAGCATCGCTCCTGTGTCCCGCCCCTCTCTGCTCCCTGCCAGTGATGGATGCTTTGCTCAGTCTCCTGTACTCATGGCTCCCACTGGTCCTGGCTGCCGTCCATCACGCCCAGGGCCGGCCCGAGGTTATCCTGCGCTCTAGGCGAGCACAGGTGCCAACCTCCCGGCGGGGCCTGGAGACGCGCTCTAGGCGGGGGAGGAAAGTGGTCGGGTGTGTGTGTGTGTGTGTGTAAAGTCTGGGTCTGCGCAGCCCCGGCCCTCCTCCCCCCCGCTGCCGGACAGGAGGGGCAGAGAAAGAAGGCGGCGGGGAGAAGGAAAGCGCCGGAGAAGGGCTGAGAAAGGCGGCGGCGGCGGCGGCTGGCTGGCCGGCGGGCGGGCAGGGAGGAGGAAAGCACCGTCTTCAGGCGACTCTGCGCCGGAGAAGGGGCCCCAAGTTCTCATGTTCTGGGAGGAGGGGGGGAATTGCCCGTGCCACTTTGTACAGCCAGCATCTTCTACAAATCTCTGTTCCTCCCCTTAGTCCTCTTTCCTCTCAATGAAAAAGCCCCACACTCTGTTGCCTTTCCACTCCCGCCCGCCTGCCAGCCGCTGCCACCGCCGGCGGACAGGAGAGGCCAAGAAAGGCGGTGGCGGAGATGGCCGGCCGGCCGGCAGGCAGCCGGGGAGGAAAGAACCGCGCCGGAGAAGGGGCCGCTCCCGCCCGCCGGCAGCCGGCGTGCAGGAGAGGCCGAGAAAGGCGGCGGCGGCAGCGGGCGGGTGGGGAGGAGGAAAGCGCAGGAGAGGCCGGGAAAGGCAGCGGGGGGAGGGAGGAGGAAAGCGGGCGGTGTGTGTGTGTGTGTCTTTCTCTGGCTCTCCTCCCCCCCTCGGCCAGA